AACGGAAAGAAAGGTTTCAAAGATTGACTTAAAGTATAGGAATTTGTATTTGAATTAAGAATTTTAGGAAAATTAAAACATCTGTACTACAAATCTGGACTGTGACTATTTTACTGTTTGTTTATTCATACATACCCACCAAAAATATTTTAGTATGAAAACTGCACAGATCTCCGCGTTGTAGGTACGGTTTTGCACCTGTCTTAGAAAACTCATTGAATGGATGACAAGCATAACATAATTTATGAGAATTAAAGAACCGATGACCAACTTCGTAATACTTAAACGTGGCGCCAAATCATATGATTTGTCTGTTTAAATAGTATGTATTTGCACAATCTTACAACCTCGGGATGCTGAACCTACAATTCCCGTATAACTACTTTTAAAACTAGAATTTACAAATGCTACCGTGTATCACTTTACAAGATTACTATTCGTGTCCATTGCTTAGTTTAATATCCACGGTGTCGTTGTATGCTGGTACTGCAGATGCAAATTTAATTATCGCAGCATTGGAAACCACAGTTATGAAGTTCTTACCGTTTTAAGTTATGCAATAATCGCGTGGCGAGACACGGAAGGCGTACACTCGGCCAATGGAGCTAGCAGTGCTAGCGCAATGTAGGTAAACACATCACGTCTCATGCAAGCACAATTATGTGGTGAGTTCGGTACTTTATTACACAAAATTATCTAATTTACGATACACTAGAACCATCTATATCGTGTTATGAAGTTTTTAAATGAATTTCTCAGTTGAAGATTTGACAGAATGTTATGTTGTTTCACGGCGGGCTTTTCCGCAACTCGACACTCTGTGCCTATTTTGCGTGATTGCATTAGTCCTGCCATCCCAGTTCTCCAGGAAACCCAATAAGTTCTTGGACTCTTCCGCATGCCTCCACTAGTGTCCTTGGGTTACCTAGATGTGTAGTCCTTTATCTTGATAGACCTCTGCATTCCAGTAGCACATGAGCGCTTATCTCTTCGTATTTGACAGAAAAAGAAGTATCTTGTAAATACCAAGCAGCTTAGTATCTACCTATAAACCATTCTGTACTTACACGTTATTAATCAGTGCAAACAATGAGCTACACCTAAACTACACTTTTGCCATTGTGATGAGTATTATTTCCCGTTACATAGAACTTGAGATTACTTCCACGATTGACCACAAGTAACTGGATAGATGTTATCTTCTCGTGACACAAATTTTTATATACTTTATATAAGTATATAAAAATTTGTGTCACGAGAAGATAACATCTATCCAGTTACTACTTATATATACTTACATACTTATATAAAGTATATAAAAATTTGTGTCACGATGTATGTTGCCAATAAACGCCAAAACTACTGAACCGATTTCAATCAAATTTCACATGTACCCGTATTTTGGTCTAACTTACTAGATAGGATAGTTATCATCTCAATTATTCGCTTATGTCGTGAATGTAATGTAAACGAATAAAATGTACTAATTAATTGTTTCTTAAGCAAGTGTTTATTTACTGTTTAGTTTTATGAAGTTCTCATAGATGGCGGTGAACGTTGATTCATAAGTAAAATTCTTCAATATCGTTAGACATCTAGGTTGCAAATCCATTCAATAGATGGCGCTGTATTCTAGATGACGTTTATTCTAAAGTAATCTGCGGTAACGTTTCTTTCAAAGAATTTTGCATAGATTACGTTTTCGATTAAGTTTTTTGTTAACTTCAGAACTGTTTTTGTTTTCATCTGTATTTCAAATTGCATTGAATTGGATTAATATATCTAAAGTTTCAAAGATAAAGTGCTGAAACATATTGGACATTTGTTGGTTTTTTTCATTTCAAAAAACAACAGCATTTTTGGAAAATATATGTTGCCCAAAGTAATTATATCATGCGGACGAAGTCGCGGGCAAAAGCTATCTATCTTTGAGTTGTATATATATATATATATATATGTTTTTATATATATATAGGTTTTTCATCAATTCTATACCCAAGGAGATAAAATAGGGGATGAAAATTTGTATGAAATTTTGTCAATTTTAAACCGATCGGGCTCAGACTTTGCGTACATAAAGCTACTATGACGTAGGTAACCCCTAAGAAAGGATTTTGACAAATAAAAGTTTATTTCAAGTATTTCACACGATATAATGATTAAATATTCATTAGAAATGCTGCTCAAAGTTACTTTACCACGCGGACGAAGTCGCGGGCAAAAGCTAGTTATTTAATAAATTATATTACAGTATAAGTCGATTTGGTCTCATACAAAATTCACTGAACTAAAATCATAACAATCACGGTAAAAAGGATATATTTATCTAAGTATCTTTATAACTGTAAACTACTTTTGACTTTTGTAAGTGCGCTTTCTGCATTTGCCTAAGCGGAGCCTCAAATATTACCATGAACCAATAGTTCAGTGTTTTTTGCAAACTTAACAATTAATCCTCACGAGACATGCGACAGAGCTAGTAATTAATTATATTTTAGAAAGATGGTGGATCCTAGAATGCTTCCCTAGGGAACGCCGTGGCATATTATTCATCGCTAAAAGAGATCCTATTCTTATCTTTATATTTTACACCGTTACACTTACACCCGGTTTCTGAATCGTGAATTTAATGTTAAGCACGTCTCAAACTGTTTTAAAGATCAGTTAATAGCAGTTTGATTAAAAGTTGGATTTTATGATCTTTTGTGATTTTGTACTTTTCACAATTTAGTAATCTGCCGTTAAGATTTTATATATAACTAGCAATTTTCCCCTGATTTTGCTCGTGTAAATAATAGACTTTTTAATAAACTTGGACATACGGGAATCGCATCATACGTTTGGTAAGTATGATGTAGATTCCCGTATGTTAAAGAATTATAAAAATCGGTCCAGTAATTTTGGAGCAAATAGCATTTATTCAGTCTAGACTGTAACTAGGGACGTAACGATCGAAAAACGATATCGATTTTTTATTATTATTATATTTCGTTTCAAAATAAAGTGTTATTCCCATCGAAATCTATTTAAAGTCGCAAACATTTTCCTATTGTGACCAGGAATATGTCTTCTGAACGCATTTTCTTTAAAAGCATGACAATAAAATGACAAGATCGAGGAATACTTTATCTACACCAAACGTCACTTTTCTCGGGTCGAGAGTGAGACATCGATGGAGCGCTCCGCAGAAAGGTGATATTTGGGTGTAAACAAAACGCTCTCGAGAATCCAACATTACACAAAGTAGGAACCAGTTTGACAGTAGTGGCCATCTATACTCGGCCGATTTTTTTTAAATATTTAAGGTTAATCATTTTATTTACATAAGGTTTTTAAAAACAAATTTTTGAATTTACTTAAGATCCAAAAAATATATAGGTAATGTATCGGTTTAGTGAAGCGATATATCGATAGATCTATATCGACCGTAACCGATATATATCGAACTCGATATATCGATATTTTAATGAAACTTCCATCTCTAACAGCCATTTTCACTAACCTAGAAAAAGGCATAGCTTAAGTAGGAAGCGCCTAATGTTACGAATCACCTAAGCAGATGAGTTTATTTCCAAATAAATAGTTTGTCCTTTAATACCTTCACATATTCATGACCGGTCATAGACGCAAATGCCTAGCGGAAGGCACCGCATAACGAATTTCATAACTTTAGACTTTGCATAACTTCGTAAGGTGGTTCCCAGTCAATAGTGAAATGCATTTTACCTCAGGCGATTCCTAAATATTTAAGCGACATATTTGGGCGACTCTTTAAGTTTAGCACAAGCACTTGTGAATGTCAAAAGCTACGCCATCGGTATCGGTATCGGTTTATCAGAAAAAGGTATAAAATCATCATAACAGTAAAACACACCTATCATGTCTTCATATAGTTTTATTTTTATATAAAATTCAAATGCGTCCATCCATTCCTCTTCTCCCTATATATAAATACATTACTATATATCCTCGCCTACAGCAAGTTTTCAGAAAATTACATTGGCTAATCACGATATTTAGCTAGCAGTATGAACTATGTAAATCGAAATTAACGTAAGCACATTATAATACATTGTATATTGGATACAATTAATTGTTACAAATACAATCAGAGTGTGATGGATGATGACCATCATTTAAATTTCAGATAATCAAAGTTTACATATTTTACATTTCATAGTTACTAAGTTTAATTTCATAACCTATTTTTGCTATAATTTCAATTATTCAATGGCAGAATCACATAAAAGCAAGAGTATATAACTATTATAAGTACATACGAAAGAACCTTAATCCATAAACAGCTGGCACAATGAAGATCTAGATGAGTTACACAATGTTACAATTAAAATTACACTATGTCGCCACGGCATACAAGAAAACATGTATGTTGCGTAGCAAAAAAATATACACAATAAATAAGATCATGGAATGTTATTATGATTTCATCTCGTTCGGTGTGGCCTGGGCCGGAACATTGAAATACAAGACGATAAAAAAATAATGCTAACATTTCCGTTAAGATAAATTATAGCAAAAATATATGTTACTATATAGGCCACAGAGTGTATACGCAGTAACATAATGGCGCGGTGATTGCACTGAACGGTGACTCGTGATAAGAGTTCACGATCGCGACACAACACAGACGAGATTCACTGCACTCTCACTACACGCGCCGGTGCCTATACCGCTATCTGAAACAATAAACCAAATAAACCAATCAGTTTCTAAAACACAGATAGTAAGTAAACCCCCCTAAACGCGATTTAACACCAGCACGCGTAGCATGACAAACTCGAGAAACGCTTTGTCTGCACTCATCTGTTAGTTTCTCGGATCGAGAGTGAGATATAGTATGGGCGCACCCGAGAAAAGTGACATTTGAGTGTAGATAAAACGTTCTCGAGTTCGTCATGCTACGCGTGCAGGAGCTACTATATTCTTTCCTTAGGTCAGGTGAAAAAACCCCATCCATAGACCTGTATCGTTTTGCGTTGTACCGAGTTTAGTTGCACAGGACGCAATAAAAGGTCACTAAACCTACCACATCTAAGCCCCGTATTAGTTGAAACTTGTCTTGACAACACATAATATTGCACTTTTTCATTATTATATGTATTATCGGTGTTATGTAGCATATATGATACACATCATCTTAAAAAAATAATACTCATCTCAAAAGCGCAATTTATGGACGGCCCCTAAGGAAGGCCTGAGCCTCTGCAGTGGGGACGTAAAAGGGCTGATGATGATAATGACGAAGTAAGTGTACATACCGGCTAGTGCGCGTGCGCGTCGCTGTATAGTGTGGTGGCGATGTACGTGGTGGGCACGAATCCCTCCTCGCGCGTGTGATGTCGACGCACGCGCGTCCACCCATCGCCCGCGTCCGTCTCCAACACTAGAAGTTTCTCACCACACTCCATACGCATCGTGGAACCGGTGCCGTTCGCTGTAAAAACAAAATGCTTTATTATTTGTTCCGTTCGATATCCGGAATCCATCTTGAGTCAAGCATCATCCTTTTTGTGACGTTTCCGGTCAAAACACTACCTCCCCTCTTACTTCCGGCGCCTGTGCTGCCATCTAGTTTGCGGGTAGCGAACCAATGACTTTTAGGCACGAACGCTTACCGTCATTATAGCGTCGTTTTTCGTGGCGAAAACATCGGTCCTACATAAAATGTGCACAAATTATTATATAGTTTAGTGTTAAAATTAAAATAAAATTAACCTCCCTTCGCGATGGAGCAACGGGACAGTGAAATAAACAAAGAAAACAGCATTGAAGCAGGCGTGTTTATTGTCTTCGAACTCATCTAACAGCGTCGTCGGATTCCAGCTCGGAGAGAGCAAGTAAGGTACAGAGGCGAGAAAAACTGTAAGTGATTTGCATTCGATTTGTTACCCCAACCAGTGACATTTTTTGATAATGCATGATAAAAACTGGAAAACTAAATCCACCTGTGCCTTTTTCCATAACAAAATAGCACATAGTATCCATACCAGGACCGCAATTATGGCAACCACAGCCACCATCACGTTCCCTACGACCCCACGGTCCTGAACAGTTCCTACTTGCAGCGGTTACAACTGGTGATAATTTTCTTTATGTACCTACTATAGTAAAACAATCAACACAAGTTCAAATAGGATTTTAAAGACCCAGTCTATGGTGAAACCAAATTAGATGAAACATGCTCAAATTAAACTATAAGTTGAGGCGATTTGTTTCTGCTACAACAATTGATGATTTAAGATAAGATCTTTATTTGCAAAAATAGAAGTCATTATAGTTAAATTTTATAGAAATGGTACAATCTACAGCATTAACAAATACCTTAACAGAATTAAAGTATGAATCAATTAGTTTAGAACTAGTTTACAATAAATTGCAGATTGATCTATTGCTAAAGACCTTAATGCTTTTTGATAAAATGTTATCAACATTCAACAAGGATTATATTTTCCAAATATTAAGTGGCTGACGCACTGATGTGTTCAGAGCCGTGGAGAAGTTTTCTGAGGTGTCTTTACAGAAATTTTTGCCAAATTGAGAGTTCAAAGTCAAAGTCAAAATAATATTTATTCAAATAGACTTCTCTTTTGAATCGTCCAACATTTTTCCCCACCACTCGTTCAGGACGTCTTTTGGCTGATGTGAAGAACGAACAAGTTCTTCTTTGATAATAGTATATTGCACCCATAAAACAAGGGGGTGCATAAAATGGTTGCAACTGCAAGTTGATTCAAGGTAGATTACCAGAAGTACACACCAATATTTAAATGGTAATGAAACCAGTTCATTAAACTTTAGAAATAAATACAATTCATTACATGACACATTGGAGGGGGCTATCTAATGCGATCTGTAAGTTTATGGAACAATCAGGATGTTCCAGATTGCATATGTCGGATCTTGGGCGAGTGGCTCACCAGTTCCAAGGTGTCACCATTTCTGAGCTCCCGCATTCCACTCTGTCATGTTAATGCAGATAATGAGCTTTTCTATATTGTCTCTGGTCTGGGTGTTGTTACCTTCGTTGTTTCAGATTTCAATAATACAAGTGTTTAAATATATCATTTGATATCTAAACTATGTAGGTATGTGATGATATAAAAATTATATTTTTATGCTGGGATTTTAAGCCATCTTCAAATATCGTTTGCAATGCTCAAATTAATATACTAGAGATTACAAAAACCACCCTGTTTTGTATCATTTCCTCTTCTAATGTTAAAGCCCGACAATTTCATTTAAAACGACACTGATTTGTCAAAATGAAACCTTTTCGACTGATCAATAATTTTTTTTAAACCGAACATTCTCATACAAAACGAATGGTTTACGAAAATATATCCGAGCCAAAAGTATTTTCATTTGAGTATCGCCGAACAACATCTGGTTCACAGGTTCTTGAGACTGGCATACAACAACCTACCTAATGCAACTGAAGTGTCTCTTTGAACTGCCATCAGTACTCAAAAACTTTGCTGCCTAGACCAACACAACAACTGCACTACCACAATAGCAGCGCTTAGGGTGGTCTCTCAACTTCGAGCAGTGTGTGCTGGTTCTGAGCTTCCTCGGCGTTGCCTGGTGCATCGTGACCAACACGGTCACGAGGTGCCGGGAAGTGCCGGGGAGGTCAGGGGTAAGTCCCTGTCGGAACCGAAGTGCCTAACGCTACGCATGGCACTTCAGCACGAGGCGACTACACGTGGCGGTTAGTCCCTCAGACAGGCCCAGTTCCTAATGGGGAGACTCGACTTTGCCTCGTTTGTGATTCGAAGAGGGTGATTACACTGTCGCACACTGCAATACTACCATCGACAGTTGCCCAAAGATCACCATTACCACCGAATCAAACTACCAGACTCAGTACTGAACATTTAGTGAAGTCCCTGTTTGAACCGAACGCTTCACGCTACGCATGGCACTTCAGCATCAGATTGTACAAGGCGGTTGGTCCCTCAGACAGGCCCAGTTCCTAATGAGGAGACTCGACTTTGCCTTGTTTGTGATTCGAACAGGGTGATAACACTGTCGCACACTGCAATACTAACACAGCTTAAATTACTACCTATTATTACTACCTATTCGGATTACCAGACCCAGTACTGAATGACTTAAAATGGTAAGTATCTGTTGTACCTTCCAATAAATGCAACGCAAATCGCTCAATATCCGAGGACAGGTGCATAGGAAATCTGTTTGAGTGCTCAACTCGAGGCAATTACTCACGCGAGTCTTCATTTCGCGGAATGCCTAGATGTAAATGCTAAGAGAACTGTACAGATTCCCGTACATAAACAAAGATGGGGGACCAAATCTAGGAAATTATTGTAATTATGACACGAACAAGGCAGATTCAGAAATTATGCATAGCCTGAATACTAAATCTACCAGCCCAATGTACACCAGATGTGAACTTATTCCACCGACAAAAGCACACGTCATTCCCAGGTTCATGACAATGGATGTGACGGACGAGCAAGCTAATAGGTCATAACGCATGACGTCATCAGTGCAAATGCAAGCTGGCCTTATTCAAACATGATTCCGCAAATACTTTCTCGACTCCAGTAAGTGTCAAGGCAAGTAAGTACATTATGATTGTTCCAAAATGGGACAAGTGTCTAGGCTGACGATTTGTTTCCGCAAATACTGCAATAGGTATGGCAACAGGTGTTCATACCCCGAAATTCAGAAAATTTATTTAAAAGTCGGGCAGAATTAAATGAAATAAAGAAAATCTTGAAACTATCGAGTTAATGTAAAGCGACTATAAATATCTACTAGTATTAATTCTGCAAATAACAAGTGCCCGGTAGGGAAATTCTGCTAATGTCGGCGTAATGGTGGAGGGTCAATAGCGCTTTGACTACAACCCTTTATGACACATTCTTGTTACTAGATCATAAAATAATAAATATATCTGTCGATATTGAATTGTTAGGAAGACATTGCACAAATAATATTAGACTTCAGGTATATAGTACATTGGAAATTTTACGTAGAAATTGGCAGAATTGACTCTATTTAAGTTGCTGGAAATTTAGCATAATTTCACAATCTTCAAGATCGCAGAATCCATTATTTAACCCTTTTAACCTTTGAAGTATAGAGACGAAAATGATTTTTTGTCTTATGGCCTTATTTTGTATTAAAAACAGATAATAGTAATTATGACAGCCAGGACAGAAATGATAAACTGACACAAATCATTCGATTGCATGTATTGGACACGCGATCAATTTTTGTATTGAAAGAGCCCCAAAAAGAAGTAATTTTCACGAATTAACTACTCTGTTCTCAAAAATGCTAGATAGAAGCACATAATGTAGAAGATTCTTCAGGGTCTATTACATCTGCAGTTCCATCTCTAAATTGACTGGAACTGTTTCCGATGGATAAATTACTGAAACTGTAAACTGGCGCCAAGAATATACTTTTAGGAAGTCCTATCGAAAACTGATAAATCGGACAATCAAGAAAATTCCGATATCTATGTATTTACATTTTTATTATTCCATTCAATTCATTAATGATATTGACCAATAACAGATAAGCCAATATTTATTTAGCTTATATTACCGAAATACTTGAATAATTATTATAATTGCATTGTTATGTAACAGCATAATTATGTACTATGTAGGTAATAGCATAATATACTTATAATATGCATTATTTTTTCTCATCAGACTACATTTGACTTTTTATACCTGCAACACATTATAGCGTCACCAATGGCACTCACCAGGAGATAACAAACACATCACTCAAGATGGATTCCGGATATCGAACGGAACAAATAATAGAGAGTTTTAACTACCAATAAAACTTACCTATTATTTTTCCTAAAGATATCCGGAATCCAGGTAAGTTCTACCTGGTGCATCTAGAGTAGGTATAATGACGGTAAGCGTTCGTGCCTAAAAGTCATTGGTTCGCTACCCGCAAATTAGATGGCAGCACAGGCGCCGGAAGTAAGAGGGGAGGTAGTGTTTTGACCGGAAACGTCACAAAAAGGATGATGCTTGACTCAAGATGGATTCCGGATATCTTTAGGAAAAATAATAGGTAAGTTTTATTGGTAGTTAAAACTCTCTATTAATATCGCCGTGATGGAGACTCTTAATATAGTGAACTAGCTTTCCCACAGCGTATATAGCGATAAGAGTAACAAACGTAGCTTTCCTGCAGCGTATACAAAATTTCATCAAAATCCATTCAGTAGTTTTTCGATAAGAGTAACAAACGTACATCCCCACAAATGTTCGCATTTATAACATTAGTAGTATAGTATATAGTAGTATGGTATTTGACGCTTTTCTGAAAACTATTTTAAATGGTTGTTTGCTACATTATAAATACACTGTCAATATATTTCATGAGAATCTGTTTTACTTTTTATGAAAATAATTGTTAAAATTTAAAAAGCAAAAAACGCGCAAAAAACGCTGCTCTATGTAATGGCGCTGATCACGTGGTATTTGTGACGCCACATGCCGGTAAATATGTCAAGGCGACATAACCTATTTATCAACTATTTATTTACGAAGTAAACAAATAGTATTACAGAAGAGAAATTGAAGTTACATTTTATGTTTTGTATTTGTACCTACTCTGGTTTTGTTTATAAAAGTGAGCTACAAATTGTATATATAAATACAAATTTGGCGTATCTCTTATAACACCGTTTTGACATGACAGCTTCCGGTTTACGTATGACGTCACATGCCGGTAAACAGAACCTGTTATTGGTTGCGACGATAACAAATTACAGGGCGTTTTCGTCGTTCATTAAAATTCCTAAAAATGTTGCATTTCTTTATGCTATTTTACTAAAGCTTTATTTGCAGATTCTTCTAAGAAATAAACTTTATTAGATTATTATCTTACAGGATCACCATAATACGCAACTTATTTTTAATAGTGTCAAATATCCTATTGTCTAATTACAAAACTTCATGAATTGTCAGTACTTAAATGACAGATACACTATAAAGTTAGTAGCTAACCCGATCCTATTCTCAGTTGGCCCACATATATATTGATATACGTTTACCTTCAAACGCGTACAACGCCTTGCAGTAACCGAGCGGCTGCAGATCGGGCTCGTAGTAGTAATCAAAGTCCGACTCATGGTCTTGGTCGTGGTCGCCGTTCGCGTGGTCGGCGTGCGCGGCCGCTATGTCCCCGCCGAGGCCGGACTCGGGGGAGCCGCCGGCCGCGCGACCGTTCGCGCCGCACGTGGAACCGGGGCCCGCGCCCGCGCCCGTGCCCGTGCTCACTGACGACTCGGACGCGGAACGCGACAAAGATTCGCTGTTTGATCCGATACTGGACAGTTACAATTGAAGAGGTTAGATAGGGTAAGTCACATCTAATGTATCATCTTAATTTACAAAAAAAAAAAATAAAGCGACAGATTTTTTGGAGAACAAATTGTTTCATTTTCTTAGTAAATATCGTCTGGTAATTAAATGGGCACATTATTTCCAAAATTAAAATAATATTTGCAATTCAATGTTAATCGAAAACGAAATAAGTTCCGAACTATTTCGAATAGGTGTCGTGTCTAAATGTAAGTCTCGTTTCTGCCCAAACCAGCCGTGAGACGCGCACGTTTTTGCTTCGTTTGTTCTTCTTTGGATAACTCTCAAACTTGAATACTAATACTAAATTATTTATCTCGATTTGTATGTAACTTGTAAAGTGTAGTTCTTATACTGGATGATTTTATATTTTTACTAGGTGACCCGACAAATATTGCTTTGCCAAATAAATTTGGAGTGGATCACCACTTATATATACAAAATAGATAAAACCTTTTCTCAGATCTACATCTACAACTTCATCAAAATCGGTCAAACTGTTTCGAAGAAGTATGGTAACTAAAACTGTAACACGAGAATTTTATGTATTAGATATCCCTAGCCGAATCCAGATTGACAATTTCATATCCATAATAGTCCTGACTATCATATTATAATGATGCTGCTGATGATAATGAATGAAAAGTACCTGGTAGCTTGGGTGGGCGGGGCTCCGTTAGTTCGCGCGACGGGATGTAACGTGGGCGCGCTCGTTTGATTATTCGCCTCCGCCAATAACTCCTCGAATTTACGCAATTGTGTCCTTAATTTCTTTAACTTGTCGCAACACTCGTTCAGTTGTCCTGTATAAACATAATTTTCTAATGATAAATTGGTTTTCGGTTGCCTTAAGATAAGTAAGGTAAATACTAATGCAATATTTCATATTTAAACATTTTTAAAGAATTTTTACAATAATCCAAGTGGCTAATTTGATACTGCTAATATTAAAATGCTATTTTAAAACTGAAAATTAAAATAATAGACGCATCAGCATCTTATATTCATAAATTAATCTACTTAGAAAATCATCATAAACAAAGATATAAAATCTATTGGAGAAAATATATTATTTTGCATGGACGGAGGTGTAAACAGGATATTGTATTGTTGATTATAGGATATGTTTTTTTTTTAATTCTCTTACCAGATTAAACTTAAGAGTCAGGCTCGGCAGTATTAAAAATAATATATACCTTCTACAGTCATTGGATCGCCTAACGTGGGATTTGTTTCATATACACCTTTCATTTTCATAAGTCCTTCCATCGCTGCTTGTTCCTGTGCTACCTGTAAATATTTTCAATATAACGTTATAATTGTAAAAAAAATACACTTACACCCATTTTCACTAACCCAGAATAAGACATAGCTTAACTAGGCAACGCCTAATATTAAGAATCGCCTAAGCAGATTAGTTTAATTCCAAATAATTATTTTTTCTTTTACCCCTTGACATATTTATGACCTGTCGTATATATAAACGCCTAGCGCATAGCATATCATAACTTTAGATATTGCTAATTTCGTTAGGTGGTTCGTAGTCAGTGGTGAAATGCATTTTTACCTTAAGCGATTTCTCAATATTACGCGACAGATTTGGGCGACTCCTAAATTTAGTGAAAACGAGCATAAGTCAAATGTTTATGTAGTTATTGAATACATTTAACATATTATTCATTAACATTTAACATTTAAAAACTTCAAGATTTATTACTTAACAAAAACGTTATTTATTTAAAATTATTTTGTGATCCGAGAGTTAACAATATTTCAAAGCTTATCTTAAATTCATTAGTGGGTTAAAATAAACATAAATATTTTGGATTTCTTTTTAAATCCAAATAAAACGTGATTTATTAATAACATTTAAATTTGGCTCGAAAGCTCAGCGATTTAAGACAGCAAACTAGATATGTCAATTCACTTTAAAAAAAAGAATATAATTCAATTAATTCAAAACGATCCGGATTTGATATAAATATTTGAAGTAATATTTTTCGTCTATTTATATTATCATTATACTCATTTTTACATGATTAATGATGCAACAGAGGTATGAACTAACACTGCCTTTGATGCTCAGATAATCTGCACGAATATTATATTAACAAAGTTATAAGTACAATTATAAGTTATCCGAATTTTCGTCTGAGAACAAAATAGAATAGGCCATCAGGCGTCATGTGAATTCGTACGCGTTTTACTTAACTTGTCCCACCATTCACTTTAAACGTATATGCTCACCTGTTTACTTAACTCGTGCACCTTAGCCTGTAGTTTCTTTTTCTTTTGGTTCGGTGGCAAATCTGAATAATCCTCCTTTCCATCCACAGACATGTTGTTCTGAAATATCAATCTAAATTATAATAACTTATAATCGTTTAAATGAGAACCTAACAAACAATATAAAACTCCATAGCCCTGCAATTTCACACCTAATAACTCAATCCAATCCAAAATAACATATCAGTTACCATCAAGTGTCTAAATTTATCAATTGATACTTCCAAAATATATAAGTCTAAAAATTTCCCTAAATAAACTTTAAAACTCAAATATTAATACACATATATTACAACTTTGTAAATTATAAATAAACATTATTATTATTATATTATATACAGTATGTGTGTGCGCGGAAAACAAAAGAAAGCCGTGCAAGCATATGGGGTTACTCAAGCCACACAGAGCGGGTCGGGTTGCACCGAATACCACGTCGAAAACTTTTACTGGCCTTTATCAAACATATGAGTCATATATTAGATAAACTATTGAATTCATTTAATTATATAATTTGAGTTTCTTTATTAGCTTTCCATTGTAACGATCGGAATGTATTATATATCAGAAAGTCCACACCAATGTTATCTTTTTTACTTATACAAACCGCTTGTTCTGATTAAGTAATAATTTAAAAGCTGTTAACGATCTCCAGACAACTCAAAAAGACAATAAAAGAAACTGCTGTTATCCAACTTAAAAATACTAATTTTTTCAGGTCAACATTATAATTGAACGTAAATATGTATTCAATAATAATAATGGTAGAATAACCATTATTTTACGTAGGTACTTTTAAAATAATAGGTTACCATTGATTACTGTCGAAATAAGGCCCATTCAATATAAAAGCTCGCTGCTTGTGATGTCACTGTATAATGTGGGGCTTTTGCTTAACTTTTAAAAGGGATTGTGATAATAAAGTCATGGAAATACCCTAGATGACGTAAGTACGTGAGCAGCGTGTCTGCGTGAGTTGTCTGGACTATGAATCACTCTAATCGAATAATTCTCTAAACTATCAACATGAATACAAAAATTTTAATTGAAAAATCACAACTATCTGAATGTATAGTAAATTCAAACAAATTTATACATCAATCAGAACAATAAACATGCATATTTTACCTACGAAAGAGCACTAATCAAAAAAACGCTACAAATAACAACAAAGACCAATAAAAGTCTCGAGTGACCAACTGTGGTCCAGAACTAACCTTGATCGAATTGCACGCCTCGACAATCTTCTGTGGTCAAGCGTTAGCGGGGCGGCAGGCGCGGACAAATAAATAACATTAAATAAGGAGGTTATAATGTGCAGACAGACCACAGACTTCAAAAAATAATATAATAGCATGTAATAACTTTAAAAAATTATATCTTTTTTAATAAAAGCGTATCTTCACTTCCTTCGCAACGGGACAGTAAAAATATAATATTGAACGGCAAATTTAAAAAAAAAGTGATATAGCACAAGACCATGTCTATCTATTTATTAATATATGGGTAGGTAAGGAAAATATCACGGCGAAGGCAGATCCAAGCAGAAAATAAAATAGTGGATTTCTAGTACATCATTTGTACAATGTTGAATGTATAATACATCTTTAATATAATAATACACTATAAATTTTCAATTATAAAATGGTACATATAAATTGCGTTTAAATTTATATGACATAATTACATAATATTTTCATATACTTCATCAATATCAAAAATTATCAAACTGTAAATAAAAAAGTAAAATGTTAGTTGGTTTGTTAATTAATCAAATACTATTCATTAGCCGGGCACTTTTAACCAAATAATTAACTTCGTTAATCGCTAATCCGTTACTAAAAAAGTTAACTTCGTTATACGTTAAAGCGTTACATTTCGAAAGATTTAACGCAAGTTAACGTTAATTGTTAATCCGTTAACACATGATAAAAATGCATTTTTTATCATGTCGCCATGATAATGATATACTCATAAGAACTGTTGCTTTGCGTTCTGGAAGTTAACAGGTTAATAACAAAAACTCAAGGTGTATAATTCAAGTGTGTAATTTAGACATCTGTCATAATTTGAATATTGCCCTTCATAAACATTAATTTGTTGAAGTTCTCGTCTGAAAGCGAGGCTCGTTTCGGCTTTAAAATATCTTTTCCCGTGGAAAATAGACGTTCAACTGCAGCGCTTCAGAGAATAGCATTATTATATTTAACAAACAGATTTATAAAAATCTGTTCTCCAAGGAATGCTGCATCGTTGAAAGCGTCGATTGATCTCATGGCAAGACATATTTTGACGAGATTTTGAGCTTTACTTTTTAAAGATCTGTGACTCTAAGGTTTTTCTTTAGATAGAGTGACAGAATTGAAAAAGTCTTCTTCCTCATCATCGTCGTTGTGGCAAGGTGCTTGGTAAATAGTATGTACTGGATTAACGATTAACGGACTTAGCGTAAGTTAACGGAAGTTAATGAGCCCGTTAACATTTTTTAAAGTTAACTTAAAAGACCAAATGTTAACTTCGTTAATTAACGGATTAACGAGTTAATGCCCAGCTGTGTTAATTGGGTACTTGTCATTTACAAACATTTGCGAAATATATTGGAAAATAACTAGACGACCTGGTATATTTCTCATCACCTGCCACTGTTTAAACTTTTCCAAACGCAAACAATATTATGTAGTATTTTTTGTTTAAAAATAACTTGTAAGTATATTTTATTTTTGCAAAGTAACTTGCAATTAATAATCTGTCGATTACTAAAATACGGCCATGATGAAGCATCACATTTCAATAATATAAACGTCAACGTCTTAGTTGAGAATACAACCAACAGACCAATTCTGCTAATGTTTATGTACTAATTGCATCTCAATCAAATCTCAACGACTTTCATCAAAGGCCAATGTTATTAGGGCAATGTCTTCCACACATCAATTGGTTAATAGTACAATGGTTTAACCTCCTCCTTTTCGATTTGGAAGTCGGTTGAAAATGCAAGTCGTTGAGATTCTATCGAAATGCGAATATTACATAGACATTAACAGAATAGACTAGTTGGCAATTATTTTTATTTTATAAATAACTGAGAATAAATGCCGGAGCAACAGCATGTCTGCGATTAATAGTTTCGGATATACGGTGCTATGTTTATGGAACTGCTGCTAGTCAGCCTAAAACGCTCCATACAAATTCAAGGCACTAAGTAACGTCACACAGTGCTACGATAGCGAAAAACGAGTGGGCGTCTAGGCAATCTTTGTAATATCTTTATTATTTGAGCGTTTATGTTTATAGGTGTTATAATGAAATTTGTAAAGTTTTATGTAACTAATATTATGCCATGTGTATTTTAGCAAATTCTTGTAGTATAATTCCCCTACTTTCTTCAAGTTTTTAAAGCGTAATATTTTCCAAATTAGTGTTATAAAATGTATTTTCTTAAATATTCATAATTTAAAATGGTTCCTATTTTTCGAACATATAACAGAAACCTATATTTGCTTTCGCGCGACAATTTAAATTAATGTATAAAAAATATGTTTTTCCTGTACTTAACAGTTTAAATAAATCTGGTAGTGATTTAATATTAACATATGAACGATTCAAAATATTTATCCCAAAACAGTCAAGCAGTCAATTCTCACGTTAGCATACACTTTACCTCTTTAACAGGTTTGCTAGATATTGCGATTACGAAAACAACGCATATTCAGTCGCACGCGAAACTAGACGTAAAATAAATAGACGCAGAATACGTAAATACTATTGATATTAATTACAATGCCAAGAGTAATTCAATTTATAAATAAAGATAGTGAGTATGAATCATTAACATTTGTCGGTCAAGTTGCATAATAATACGCATATAGATATTTCAAAATTCAGATTGTTATTAACACAAGTGTTAATATGTTTATTGCTAATGAGATTAATAAACGATGACTAATTCACTTGTGTGCATGATTATACATAGTTGTTAGAATAGAATAGGGATTTTGGGATGTTGATATGTATTTATGGAAGTGTTTTAAACCTTTATTTCATATTTTTTCACGCACACTACTCATTTGATTAAAGAACTTTGTGAAAGTCCAATGCGTTTTCTAAACTTATTACATTTTTAGAGATTTGAGATAATTTACAGTTTCTGTGATCACAACACTACACCTGTTTAGATTATATGCTACACCAAATTCTCATCCAGTAACCACGGAGCCTGCAGAATAGAAAAGTGATTTAAGCCGTCACAAGTCGCTAATATATCACAAAACATTTATTCAAAATGTTTAGAAGTATATTTTAGTTCCAGTTTCAAGTTTCGTCTCCAATGCTTTATGACCACTGTGTGTGATCTCATTTAGTTTCCAAACACTGAACTGAGGGTTCTCAGGATTAAGATGTAGTAATCAGAATAAAGAGGTAGTTAGTATGTAGTTTTTGGAAATAAATTATCTATAGAAATGTTTTCGTGAACAAGGTACATGGTGTACTATCTTTTGAACATTAGTGTTAAAAATGTTTAGAAATATATTTTAGTTCCGGTTTCAATTTTCGTCTCAAATGCTTTATAACCACTGTATGTGACCTCATTTAGTTTCCAAACACTGAACTGAGGGTTCTCAGGATTAAGATGTAGTAATCAGAATAAAGAGGTAGTTAGTATGTAGTTTTTGGAAATAAATTATCTATAGAAATGTTTTTGTGAACAAGGTACATGGTGTTACATCTTTTGAACATTAGTGTTATAGAGTAATTTTAATTATGTTTTCTTTTTTAAATATTAATTAGAATACATGAAAACTAAAACGGATATTATGTTTATAGTTTCCCCTTTTGGAATTATCGTTTCCTTTTTTTTGTAAAAATTATTTCTTTATGAATAAAGTCGAAATATCTTTAAGTTTGATTATTTACAGTGAACCAAATTCCAGATTTAATTGATATCGACGCCGTATTTAAAACAGTCCGAAATCGAAATTGAATTTGTAAAAACAACATCTATTCAGTTATTTACAAACGATCACAGTAAGATTTTAAGACAGTAGTATTTCGCGTGTCGCCGAAGAATAAGAGTGGTGTGATTCGCGTGGGTTTCTAAAAATTTACAATAAAGTAGCAATGAATCAGAAGTAGTGGGTGAATGAATAACAAAGTTAACGAGTTATCGATGATCAAAGCTGTCTCATGCTGATTAACATCATCCCCACAACATAAACTTACTTTTTCCACGTGACAAGGCACCCCGCACATCACCAATTATTCGCCAAAAATATCAATCGGTAGTAATGACCCATGTTAGGTAGTAGGAATCGATGGGATAACAGACAAAAATAAAATTAGTACCTCCAATAAACAAAATAATATAATCATAATAATAAATATGTACGTAACTGGTTTGTAAATAATTATAAATGTATGCTTTATTGGCATTGCGTTGTGGTAAATGATTCATACATGTTAAGTTTGACATTGAGGACAAACCAGCTGCGTCAACATGATAATGAAATAATAATAATTATTATAAAAGAGGTACATAGTTGTAGAAATAGTACTTTCACATAGCGAATTTGCCATTAGGCAACTTAACACGAAAAAAATAGAGTTTAATTTTAAATCACTCGTCTGCAATATCTTTAATAAATAAATAATTATAATTCATGCATTAATGCAATTTAAATAAAAGATTAAGATAAAGCTCTATGCTTAATGCTTTAAGCAAATATGCTAATAAGACATCAATAAATAGCAATCGTAATATTTTTTTTAAAGACTATAACTATCTACACAATGGTAGAATTTGTGTTCAGATTTGAAATATACTTATGAAAATGTGTGAACATTTTAGTATAAACTAAGGGAATACATGTTGTATGTAATCCGTTTATTACGTAAGACGATCTAGACCTTGGTCTTATTTTTCTACAAAGAGGAGAGATTAGTCTCTTGACATTTCTTAAAAAGCAAACACCTGTCAAATGGCCGAACAAAACAAATGCTTACAAATACCGATTATTAATTTACTTAGAGGGGTCATTCTATTCTTATTTTTTTACAGAAAGGTATGGGGACAGTTCTACAACTGTCAAAAATCGTCTTAAGTATCAAATGAATGACCCTTAATTGATGTATAACTGTCGATAACCATTCAAGATATTCAAAACAAAAATACCACCTCACAAATGTAAACTACACTAATGCAAGTTTCATTTTTTTACACAAAGGTATGGGCGTAGTTCCAAACTGTCAAAAATCGTCTTAAGTAACAAATGAATGACCCTTAATTGATGTATAACTGACGATAACCATTCAAGATATTCAATACAAAAATACCTCCCCACCAATGTAAACTACACGTTGCGTTAATTGAATGGTTGAAAAAGAAATGACAGTATAGTCTCACCTTGTTCGAACTGAATATAGAGAGTAGCCCGCCACGCTTCTTGATCCTGTTCCCCGATACGGTACCGCGCGCTGCCGTCAGATGGTTCAGGTGGTGGTGGTGATTCTGATGGTGGGCGGCGGCCGCGGAGTCCGTCGCGTCGCCACCCGCCATCGCTTCGAACGCGAAGTCCTCGGGCGGCACGAAACCCGATTTGTACCTTTCTATTACTAACTGTGTGTCCTGAAAGGGAAAAGTGTGATTGAGCTGTCAGTAAGTCGGTAATATTATAGGATTGCTGGAGTTAGGAAGCCTTATGGAGTGAATCTAAACGTCCGACCGTTTCTATTGACACTAAAAAAAAAATTATGTCTGTGACGTGAATTTTATTGCAGTGTTGCCGGTCCGGGTGTGTAAATTTCAGAAGATCGCCAGCCTAATGGAATTTGAAGTGAACTGCATATGAAAGTCACTGAATGTATGTGTAAAGTTGGCCGCTAATTTAGTTTTCTATATTTGGTATATTTGGAATCCGAATTCACGTAATTTTGTGTAGATATTCTATTGATTCCATTTTTTTGTATAAAAATACAAAACATAATTGATTGAATATACGTGTCTCAGATATTCTATTCCTATGTCATTTCGAAACTCACTTCATTTATGCCACGAAACGAATTCGAATGAAACACCTGAGTGAATTCGAATTTGGGTTTGGATTTTTACAATCGCAGGGCCCAAAATTCAGATCCGAAGTCTTTATTTTCTATTGGGAATAACGTAGTTTAGTTCAGTAAATAAAATTTCTTTTTTTTACCCAGCCGTCGTCCCTATATAGCCCTATAATTACACTTGACATGTGAAATTTATTTAACTGCGCGTTATAAATATTGTAAATGTCAAAATCAAGGAAGTTACAGGCGTTAGTGGCAATTAAGAAATATTTCAGGTCGCATTATTTACAGTTTCCATATTGCATAGCTCTAGAATAGGGAATGCTGGTATCTGAGAAATGAAAGTGCTTGTTATCGAGTGTTTCATATAACTATATAACTATATAACGAATTAATGACAGTAAGTAGTAATAAAAGGAGATATTTCATGCAACGCCAATAATTTAACAATTTATTAGTTAACAATTTATTGCCAAGCTAAATTACTGGTAATAACTAAATAAAAAAATACTGCCCAGTTAAATACAAACTAACAGTACATACTAAATACGTAAATTTAATGTTCTTTTATTTTTCTTTCATCATAAGTTTAGTCAATAACCTAAATTACTAAGAATTCGTAAAATTGGAACCACAACCTTAATTTTTATTTGATTTAAGCAAAACTTCCATATATGCAATTTTAAAATTTCTACGAATTTTTCAATCTTGTTACTTATTTAATTAATTTTGATCGAGTAATATACTAAAGTAGTTACAATAGGTTACGAGTAAGGCTTTATTAGTTATTACATTTTATTTACATGCTAATTACTGAATGAGTACATTACACATTATATTCAATTGGCATCTAAACATTTACCAAATGACGCATTGTTTATAGTATGAACATTCATAAACAATAGAATTCATGCAAGATTAGTTAATAATAATCGATACTGGTAACGCCAATGGCTTCCTAATGAAAGTTTACATTTAGGAATTATTCACACTATGTCAAATGAGAAGATCAATTATTGAACAACTAACGACTTGTTACCGACCATTCTATGTTCAAGGTTGTCTGAAACAACAAATTACGAATCTTACGGTAATTGCAATCTATCGAAATTACAACGGATGATGAACCGCATAATTTAGCACATTAGATCCAATCAAATATTACCCTTGGAAATATTATCATAGCGTATATAATCGCTCAAAAATCTATACAAACGAATACAATAATAATTACCTCTTTTTCATTTATACTATTAGCTGCTTGTTCCATACCGTCCAGGCACTGCATTATAATAGGAAAAACTTTCCTCTCCACATCCACGGAACTTAACATGAAATTCTTTATATTCTTTATTCTTTTCTCGTCTAAATCCTGAAAATGAAAGAATGAACACATTAATTACTTATAAATAAACATACGTTGTGTCGAGAACATGGTTATAATTTACTTTTAAAAATTGAGATATTTACAATTTGTGTCGCTCCCCGCTCGACCTAGTTGGCCCTAAGCCAGAATGCAAGATGCTGCCTCTGTATGCATTCACGAGCAGGCAACAATATATCACCAAATAGTTCGAATGCACTGAGTGAGTCATCGTATACATTCCGATAATAAAGGTATACTATTCGTGACCAACCAATAAATCATAAATACAAGAATTACATAAGTCGTAACGTTCTAAAATTATCAAAAGAATCGCGCAATTAATCATTCGGTTACACATATGTTTATGGCTGATGCGAATTCGCCTAATGTTCGCGTCTCTCGAAACACATGTCGTCATTTTATTAGACTTTCAATTTTAACGATTGATGAAGTTATAATGAGTTAATGGGGACATTAAACTGTATCGGTTTCAATCTGTTTACGGACTGGTTGGAGATTAGAAATAATTTTATTCATCCGACAAAATATTTGGTGTCAACGCTTCAACTACGTACTTATGCAAGTCAGGGTTTTTTCCGTTATAAGAACAAAAACACACCAATCGACATATTGTATATTTTTCCTCTTTATAAAACTAAAACTTTTCATAATGATGATTAATGATGTTTGCTGTTAACAAAAATTTTATCGGTAGCGCGTCAAAAATTAAATATAACATTTTCTAAAAATGCAACATTCGTCTTTATTTATTAAAATCAGATTTTTTCAATTTACAACATGCTTGTAAATGTTAAAGTTTTAATTAAATAGTTTATTCACAATAGGGATGCCGACTAATTTTTGTTTGTTTGTCCGTCAGGTAGAGTGTTAAAAAATATGAAACACGTATTTTTTTTATGTTTTTCATAATCATACAATTACGGCGTTACATGGACTTGAAATTTCGCATGACGTCACTTTATGGTACGTATTCCACTAAACTGTTATCTAAGCTATTTCTTGTTAAATTGAAGAAGAAAAAAACATATCTAATATTTTTTTATTATCTGACTGACGGACTAAATAGAAATGCATTTTTTTACCCAGTCGTCATCCCTATAATAGATCACTCTACATCTCAACCCCTGACTGATTCTACAAGATTTAGTTATCGTAGGTTAGAATCGATTCATAATGTAGGCAAGTTTGAATATAAAATATTTAAATGTATTCATTTAAAACATAAACAATTATCTCAGAGAACGTCACTTTAACGTATGTCTTCGTAAACCTTGTACCTATTGTTTTGAGGTTGCTTGTTAAATAAAATCTTTTGAGGTCAGACATAGTACAACTGTTAGGTAACGTATGTCATAATTTTTAACACAGTAACAATGGGTAATCGATTTGAACCGAATCCATCGTCCATTAAAAAAAAATTGATAAAAAAAACGTTCGTTACTAAGACTTGACCTAATCACATCAATAAAAAAGTAGCATTAGGTTTATTTAATTTCATAAATAATGTTTAATTGTGATGCGAAGTATTTGTTTGACGTTATGTGTCGATTTTGTTAAAATTTTCTCAAATAAGATTTCATATTGATTCAAGATAAACAGTTAACTTCACCGTGTAACTAGTTGAACTTTATGTACTATACTGTCATTGATTTCAAATTATATGCTTTCATTAGCTTTCAATTAAAGTTAAGTTATCAACTAACAATCTATACACCTAACTTATAAACTGGCTAGCAAAGTGGTACGGCAAATTAAAAATAGCTCGATACGTGAAATACAAACCGAAATACACATGATAATTTTATCATAGTATTTCCCAACGTTTGAAAAGACTTATTCTATATTTATTTAATTATCTTATTTTACTACTAATTATCCGTAACTTTCAACAATTCGTAGCAACAAGAAGAATCAAGTAGAATGACGACCACGCAAATAAAATATAAATTATATTTGAGTCTACTTTATGCAATCAAATAAGAGAACTTGATTAAAACCTAAAAAGCTTTTTAAATTATTTTACGAAAATAAAAGAAACACTGCAAATGCCAAATTCAATATAATTACGAGTATGTAGATTTTTGCATTTTAAGAAATATTTGTTTAAGTGTCTAATTTGAGTGGGTCGTTTTTCATGAAGAAATAAATTTCAAAGTTTACCAAAGCATTATAATCTTATTGAAATTAACACTGTTAAAAAACTGTATCGAAGTTAAGTACCTGTAACTGTTTGAACACGTGCGGAAGCCTCTGTTCGTAGTGTTGCCGCTGGGCGTCGTTAGTTTTTCGTAGTTGGTCCGAATACTCCTGTTTGGCGTCCTCGCACGCCTGACTTCGGAGTTTCATGTTCGCCTTCTGTTTCTCTACTTCTGCACGACTGAAAATGTTACAATAATTATAGAAAAGCTTTATTTATTTTTATTGTGGCGAGAAAGTGACTGCAATGGACCTGACGAACTACTACTATCCTGCCGGAAGCTAAACATACCTCTTTTGAAAAACCCGAGGTATTATGATTATATTAATCTACAATCCCGCAACTTCCGAAAAACAAACATTTTGCAAACAGACGTTTTGCCAGAGATTCCCACTCTGGTACCAGGGACATACATATAAACAAATTTATAAAATGTAACATATCTCTTTATTTATTTCATAATATTACCTACGACCCGGCGTTACACGATTAATAAACCTCAAGAATTTTCCTATACGACACTGAAAACCGCATCGAAATGACATACAGCGGATGACAAAGGCGTAGAGTGATTCCATTCATACTATTACAGTGCTATTAATAAACAAGGCATAGCGTCAGAGTGAATTTACGCAAAAAATGCAGTTTTAGTATTAGTCCAAATTCATATTAAACGGAGAATACGCAAACTTACTTCCTTCTAGAAGTAAATATAATATTACTCGCGTAAAGCTTCGTACTAAGTTAACCTATAACCTCCCTTGTACTAAGCTAAGATTTATCTCTTTAATAATATGAAATTTCACTAATACTAAGTGTAGCCTCAGTGTTAATTAACTCTAACGCTAAACCAAGTTTATTAATAACACTGACAATGATTATAGATAAACATAATCACGAACACGGAACAGAGAGGAAAACAGAATGAAAACCTTCGAACGAATATTTATTTATTATATTGCACATCGTAGCGAGGTTCCGTTATAAAAAGGAGTTAACAGTTACATGAGTGCTAATTAAAGTTCATAAGATTATACAAGTTGGTCCATTACACATTTAGCCAATCAAACATCCAACTAAATGTATGAATGAGTAATGAAAACAAAGTTATGTTATGGAACTCTCAGTTGGTTACGGACCTACCATTATTAGCAATTGTAACTATTGAATACAACTGTATTCTGACCTTTTTCTGAATGAGATGACGATAAATGGTATCCCAACAGTTTTTAAATTTATTGTATTATACCACTATATTACAGATACCCCAGCACGCGTAACAGAATAAAATCAAGAGAATAAAATTGTCTACACCCAAATATAATTTTTCTTAGGTAGAGAGTGAGATATTGTATAGGCATTATGAGAAATTTGATATTTGGGTGTAGACAAAACGTTCTCGAGTTTGTCATGTTACGCGTGCCGGAAGAAGTACAGCCATATAGTATCTGTATAATAACGTCTTAATAATAATAAGGAGTACCTTGCATATCAATATTTATGTTATTCTGCGATCTATTATTAACAAGAAATGTGAAAGAAAAAGAGATGTGATTGAAACAGAATTGAAACTTTACAATTAGGAACTGGTGCCAGGTTGTTTTTGTTATGTGGAAAGGATAATTTCATATCGCAGATAAATAAAACTTAGACAACATCACATATTACACAGACTCCCAATGAAGTAACGCTTGTATTTTAATAAGCATGATGTCCACTTTCCATACATTGATTGACCTGGCACATGTTTTTTGTCGCGTCTACCCGTCATTAGAGATAATTTCAATTAAAATAGAATAATATCTTAGCATCATTTTAGATGGAGGCCAGGGAGATTCGTTATTTATAAATAATGTTTTGCGGTTCTAACAGCTGTCAAAACTCGAGATAACTGTAAACTGTGAAGCTACCTTGAAACAAAAGCAAACCCTTATTTTAGGGTCCGAATCGCATTCGGGTAGTTATCATGGTACTATTTAAAAATAATTATCAGCCTCGCAATTTTTATCCTAACTTTATTTTAAGATTTAATTTCTATATATGAAATAAGTAAAGCACAAGCTCACATCACTAGTAATTTTTAGGTCAAAATTGGACATGATTCTTTGAAACAACGAAGGTAACACGTATGTTGAAGTTAAAGAATATCACAATTGTTTTCTTACATTCGTAAAAAAATTGCGAACAATACCATTTCAAAATCTATTGATTGGACGTATAACTGCCGATAGTTTTTATTACTTGCAGTAGCTAGTATGATAGTTTATAGACAAATGTAACATTAAATCATGTATATGAAGAAACATAGAAACGCGGTGTGTTAAGACATATCGCATCGCATTGCGTGCCATCTTATATGCAAAACGTATTTCAACACGAAACGTTCATCCAGCAAATACGTAACCACGTTAGGTGTTCCTGCATATCAGGCAACAGTTCCGGTAAATGTATGTTTAAATCGGCTAGTTACACACATTCACAAACCGGTCGCGTATAACGCGGTATAAATGGCGGTATCCACTCGAGCATTTGTGACTATTACGCCTACACGAATTGCCTGGTTACAATGTAGTGCTACTAAAACGAACGTTTTCAATTGTAATCGTATTTTGCAGTTGGTAAATTTGTTCATGTAACTTCCGTAAGATCCTGAAGCAACGACCATGTCACGGCACGACCAAAGTGAGCACAGCACGATATGATAAACTAGAATTAACCGCCTATCTTTTGGAGTAAAAACTCAGACATCAGTTAAGGTAGCATTATTGTTAACTACTTACAAATTGCAATGATGGCAAGTTTAAGATTGTTTTGAAAGCGGCTTACCTAATTAAATTAACCAGCGCTCAGAGCAATTATCTGCCATAAGTAGGATAAATTACCTGTTCTCGCTTCAATAACTGTCACAATCACTAAGAGATTTGCCTTATATGCATTGGATTGGAACGTGATTACATATTCCATTTCATCAGAAACATTAAAAGTGCATACATGATACGAGAAAGAGTATCATTAAGAAGGTATTTGAATGTAATAAGGACAACATAATTTTAAGAAAAAACAATTAATTAGAAAGAACAAAGAAGCTACCTCATTTGTAGATCAAGATGACTGGCTAAGTGACATGAGACCTAAACAACTATCAATTCTTATCCGCAACAGTTGTACTCAATAACCATTATAAACGACGCAAACCTGACCTTATTATATTACATATAAACTCAACGTACACGCACAATTCAATGTAACCAAGACTACTTTTCATTACTTATGATCCCAAAACGAAAACGTCCAGGAGGCCCTAATTCTGCTATTATTTCCTGCCAATTAACGTCCCCATTGCTGGGACTTAGGCCCTATGGATAGAATCAAATCGAATAGTTTCTATTAAGATTATCATAATTATAGCAGTGTTGTTTGATGTATTTGCTTTTTATGCTGTGACTGTACTATTTACCTGGAAATATTATTGGTATCATCGCATGCTGACAAACACTTATATAATTTTTGATTTTTGAAAAACCATAAAGTAACATACATCATAATTACGTTCAAGCTTGAAGTGGGCAATATTGAGGGCCAAATTACAATGGCCGAGCTAGCTATCGTGTGAAAGAAACATATTTTTTCATATGTGTGAAAGAAACTTAAATTTTTACCACTAAAACAAGCTAATATAGACCTCTCTTTACCTTAAGTTGAGATCAGCGTCTGCCTTTTGAAACGCTTCGAGCGCTCGCTCCGATTCTCTCGCAGCGCGCTCGTACGCTCTTCTCGCTCTTTCGAGCGCACCTATCGCTGAATTTAATACTGCCATTTGTTTTGCTCCTTCATTTAAATGTTGCTGAAAACAATAAAAGATACATGTAATTTATATATTTATATCAGTTATATAATTTTACCAACTTTATCAAATACGTAACATTAACGATATGGCAAAGATGAAAACTGTTTGTTTAAGCACTCCATTCATTGCTTTTCAATGGCTTTACAAACATTCCCACAAAATGGATGCAATTTATGACTACGCCGTTGCAAATGGCGTGTAGTCAACACAATCGCTTCAGCATATAATATAATTGTATATAATAAACAACAGTGCTATTATGTAAGCTCAGTCCTTCAACGAGCTTTTCCCACAATGAGCGTGCACTGACACGCGACGCGACCGACTTTAATTTTCCGGCGTACACTCCCATCTACTCTACGTCTATATCACTTCGCAAGTGTGAAATTACAACACGCAAAAAAATTCATGTACGCCCTCGAACTGTGTGAACGAACTTAGACACTAACAAAATAAACGCTTTAGTGGCGACGACGTAACGGCCTCCATTTGAAACAGTGGCCCAGATAATTCTAACAAGTCATAATGTTTTAAGAGGCTAAATAAATTGTCACTGATAGCTTAAGAATTTTGTAACGTTAATTCAGATGATAAGACTTCGGTGAACATGACGAAAAAGTGATATATGGTAAAAAAATTATATAAAAGCAATCAAAATATTTGACCACTTTATCACTTTTTCCTCACTCATTTTAATGAAGATTTTCAGAATACAAACCTTCCTTTCTTCTCGCAGTTCCTTTGCGAGCAGATGCAACTCTCTAACTACATTTGACTGAAGATTCTCCGCGACCACCTCGCGCTGACCCGCGAAGTCGCCCAGCTCTTGTAAAAGCTGTCTGAACGCTTTACATGCTGAGTATCTGTTAACAATTGGCACAACACGTGATTCGTTGACACCAATCTCAGTTAGCTTTTTCAATAGCATTCTTCACCAATACTAGAATTATATTAATGCCAAGATGAAGGTTTCAAAGCGACTATCTAAAGTTTGTAATAAAAACGTGGCGTGATTCAACGGCAGATTGGAGTACCATCAATTCTCATCAGTAATCTTAGAAGCACCTTTCTATTATAATTAATAAAGCGTGGAAGAGTTTAATCAATTCAAACTATTACTGTACTAGTGGGAAAACATTAAATGTCATGCTTAATCAATTTTGGTTGAGTGCGCCGGCATGAGTTCATATCATACCTATAAACTAGCTAATCAACTCCGTCACAGTTGTACTTAAACAATCTATCATTGTAATTCGTGGTAGCAGCTAGTTATATGCATACTGTTCTACGGAATTATTAGACTCCTAAAATTTATTAAACGTTGACTGAATTAATGCTACTGTTCTGTGTTTAAGAATTGCTAGAGAGACACGCGTCGTCCAAACAGGTCTATTGTGGCAACAAGGCAATTCTTTATAGAATTGAAATTCATTTATTAGCACAAAATAAAGCTTTTAATACTTTTGCATAATATTAGGGAAGAAGAATAATGTGTACCCAAATAATGTGCTTTTGCCTGGAAAAGCTATGTGTAAGGTGGAGGCATTTGAAATGTGGATGTAGTCAAATGCAGCCGGGACCAACGGCTTAACATGCCTTCCGAAGCACGGAGTAGCTCGAGATAATAATTTTTTGGTCACCCATCCCGTGACCGACCTTTGCGAAAGTTGCTTAACGACAACGTTCGCGGCGAAAAAATGTATAGTTGTTTTTATTTCATTAAGTTAATATAAAAAAGAGATTGATTCCAATAGCAATCAATAAATCGTTATTTTTATTATTCAATGACAGTTTGACGTTGGCTACGTATTTCAAAGTCAAAATCATTTACGACACAAATGTGACACACGAACGATAGCATCAATAATCGTACAATGTCCATATTTCATGTAGTTAATAGGTACAGTATATGATTCACATATACCCAATACAAGAATATTTTAGCTATAATAAATCCAAATACATACAGTAAAACATCAGACACATCACTATAGAATACCAATTTTTAGCAATCAGTTTTATCCAGGGTTTGCTGATAAATATGAACGGATTCCTATCGATTAATATATAATAATTGACATTTATCGATAATACACTGGACCGCAAAGAAAACGGGTCGGTTAGAAAATCTTCAATAACTTGAAAACTACCTCACCTAGCTTTATGAAATAAAAACTCAATTAAAGAATATTTAATGTTATTTAACATAGTATATAAAACCTTTTTATTTACTTTAGATAATTGTGTAAGAAAACTGGCAATGAAGATAATGGTTGTTTTTCAATTTAGTTCTAAAAAAAATCAAAGCATTTGTTTCGCATTTGTTTTAGTTTTGACATAAAAACTACAATAAATATCGTGTGTTTGTCATACAAAAATTGTATTCTGAAGTCATCATGTCGTTAACCCCTGAAGAATGCACCAGGATCCTGACAATGCTTGAAGATGGGCGCAGTCAGCGCAATACAGCGAGAACTGTTGGTGTGAGTCTTTCCACAGTTCAGCGGGTACTCCAGCGTTTCCATGAAACTGGATCCAACCTAAGAAGACCAGGAACAGGCCGAACGAGGTGCACGACTGCGCGGGAGGATCGCTATATGGTGTCAACAATTTTGAGAAATCGATTTCTTACGGCCGTTGAGGTAAAAAATCACCATTTACGAGCTGGAGGAAACTATCTGAGTACAGATACAGTAAGGCGACGTCTGGCTGAAGCAAATTTGAGACCATTAAGGCCTGCAAATGGCCCAAAATTAGAAAGACACCACTTAAACTCAAGGCTGAGTTATAGCAGAGAACACGAAACTTGGACTCTGGATGACTGGTCAAGAGTTATGTTTTCAGACGAGTCTAGATTCTGTTTATACAAGCACGATGGGAGGAAAAGAGTGTACCGAAGACCGGGAGAGCGCTATAACCAAGCTTGTATAGAAGAAAAAGTACCATATGGCGGTGGCTCTATACACGTGTGGGCTGGGATTTCTTCCGAAAGCCGTACTGAGCTAGTAGTGATAGAAAATGGCAGTTTAACAGCAGAACGATATGTGAATGAAATTCTTAATGACTATGTTGGTCCATTTTTAGTAGATATGGGCGAAAATGCTGTTTTTATGCAAGACAACGCCCGCCCGCATACAGCTCAGATAGTGTTCGACTATTTTCACGAAGTAGGTATCACATGCATGGAGTGGCCAGCACGAAGCCCCGACTTAAACCCCATCGAACATGCATGGGACGAACTGGGACGACGTGTACGTCAACGGAATCCGCCGCCAATCACGCTGCGTGAATTGAAAGGAGCTTTGATCGAGGAATGGCAGAACATTCCGCAGCATCGCCTTAAAAACCTTGTGGAAGGTATGCCGAATCGCATAGCCGCAGTTTTGCAAGCTCGTGGAGGCAACACGAAATACTAACATGCGTAAAAACGTCACATCTTTATACAATTCATATTTACGAAAATGTCAGAAAAACTACCTTTTTCATTCGTTTGACATTTATTGAAAATAGACAACTTTTAATTTGTATTTTTTTATATTCAATAAATTACAATTAAATAATCTTTAATTTAGTTTTTATTTCATAAAAATAAGTTAAGTAGTTTTCAAGATATTGACGATTTTCTAACCGACCCGTTTTCTTTGCGGTCCAGTGTATATAAAACTATATATATATATATAAACGAAAATCTATCGATTAATATATAAAAGTTGATATATAATAATTGACATTTATTGTTAGTTTGAGTCTCAGCTAGAAAATTAACCTAACCAATGTGACTCTAGCAACATTGACCCGAAGTAGCAATCTTACTTACTATAGTGTGCCCTGTAATAAGAACGCATAGTGCGAACGGTTAGTTTCTTTATTTCCACTTAAAATTTAATGCTTATATTCAGGTAATAAGGTTTATTATAGTAAGTAGGTACTAAATCGGGTATTCCTCTATACGTTACTGGGAATCCTCGCACGCATAATACTTTTTGATTATTTTATAATAAATAAACAAATATTAAATATATAAAAATCAATCAATCTTTTACACTTTTAATTCAAACAAACTATAAATATCGGATATATGATTATAATTATCGGATTTTCGCAAACCCAGTTTTAACTATTCAGTCAATGAAATCAAGTGGAGGAAAATTAAACGGTTTAAGTATTTTCATATAAGACAAAAAAAGGTTTATGAATTGTAAATACTTACTGATATTCGTCCTCTTCTTTTCTTTTGGGTTGATAGTTTTTGACAAGCCTCCTGAAATTATAATATGACTGAAATATTTCTAACTACTTATTCTAACAAATCTTTCATTATCCAATTTTCAATTGATAAAGTAGAAAAAACGCGAGTAAAGTGAGAAACATACTTGTACGATGAGTTTACCGTACATCACTATAATTCTAAAACAAATATCATTCAACAGCGTTCTTATATAAAACTTAAGACTTCATATATATATTCACGGGCCTATCGATGAGACAAATGACTGGAATATTGCGCGAAATCGAGCGTTGAAACTGTTTATTTCGATTACAATTATTGTAAAATTTCTCGATATTACACTTGCTATGTAGCGACGCTCAGATATATGAAATTTAAACACCTAATTTATATTTTCTCCCAAAGAGGATATGGAACCATCAAATATATGTGTAGTGTAATTTTAAGTGTATTACACTCTAATTTTAGCAAAAAAATTGCAAAAAAAATTAAGTCATAGGTCTATACGGACATAAAACACAAAGTTTAACCCAATAATTAGCTACGCTGCCACAACTAGGTAGTTGTGCAGACGGTAAGTTAGCTGTCATCCGAAATGTTTCTCAAATTATTGGCAATTGTTTCAATTCCGTATTGATACAAAGGTAACAAAATTGGCGCAATTTTTCGAGAGTTCAAAAAGTTTCGACACAAAATTAGCAATTTTAGTGAAATGATGTTTACCAAGAAAGGTAATCAAAACTATTTAAAATTCTTTTATTTATTTGGACCCATAATTATTTATTTTTTGAACCTGCTTACATATTAGTAGGCCAGGTTCATATCCTACTATAAATCTTTTCCAGAATACGTGTAATGAAGACATAAATACTCTGCGAAGTGTCATATTTCTCAAAAGAAAAGAGATCAAAGACTACTGAAAAAGTGAAACCGACTATAGACGAAACCTCATTAAGTACTTTATTATTGAAAAAAAATTAGAGTCAACTCACAATAATCAATGTGTACAACAAATATCTGTGTGACCTTCGACATCGGATATAAATATTCATTTGAAAAATAAACGACTACCAAACTCGTATGTGATATTTTTAATGTTCTTCTAATGATTTAATTATATTGTATTCCAGAGTCGTAAAAGAGATGAGTAAAAGTGATATGATAATAAGATAGAAAAAGACTTGTTCCACCGGATTTTATAATGTATCCGTCTCGACTTTCTTTACTTGCAAGTTAATAAACTTTTTAGAGAATTAAGAGATGGAAATATATTCAAAATATAAAAAAATAACAACCTTACGAAGCACATTAGGTAACTCAGTTAACGCTTTTTTTGAAGTCTTACAAAAAAAAATGTAATACATTATATAACACTAAAAATGGTATTGTAGTTGGTAGAAAATAAGCAAACTAAAAGAAATCGGAAAATTACGCTCCATTACATGGGTCAATCACTCGTATCATTATTTCCCAGTTAATTTTCAATTGAACCAATCAATCTTCAAAAATCAAAGAATTGTTATCAAATGTATCTTCGCTTATTCTATTAAAATATTATGTTCGGAGTTTAAGTGGATGCCAAGGTTTATCATATCACTAATATACTGATTGAAAAATAAATAAAGTTCAATTGAACTGTAATCAAAAGTAAGATCTCTAGGTCGTATTTCTAATTAATAAGTAGTTAATATAATACTAAGCTTAAAGAAGAATTTGGGAAATTTTCTCATAAGTAAATATTAGTAAGTTAGCTCTAAAATATTCTTGATAAAATATTGTGAATGCAAGCAAAACTGGTTAAATACAATAATTTTAGGAATAGTTGATAATATGTTTTATTAATCACTTTGTTGCCAAATTTTGACACGAGCTATTTGTCAAGAAAAGTAGTGGTTTCCGAGTAATTAATAAAATAAAAAAAATCTCTTAAATTCTCGCAATATGGTCTATGTCTTTGACAAGGTCTGCGATTATCTCTATTTCTGTTTTCTCACAATTTCATCCTATATTTTACTTTCTTAAACTTTCCTTAGATTTTCTTTTTCAAATTTTACATCTTTTTTTTTAAATACTAGTATAAAAGATTACACAATTTACATTCAGATACTGCAGTTACAATTAAGAACAGATTTTATTAAAAAATCTATTAAAATTTGTGAAATGAGAATAATGATATAGCACTGACAACTTTAAGACAACAATTTTAATTACTTATAATAGAGCAGAAGGCACTTAACGGCTCATCTCAGAGTCGGTGATATAAACAGAAATTGTATTGTACAAGTATAATTCTGAGAAATTACGGAAATTTAGTTTATATATTATAAAATTTACACATACCTGAGTTTTGCTGCATATTCTAATTCTATAGCGCACCGCTCCTTAACAAAAGTTCCATATTTGTCTAGAAACTCAATTCCTTTGTGTGTATGGGCGGCTAAGTTATCATATTGATCCTGCGAACAAAAGAATACAAGTGTTTAATTAATCTATTACCCGTGTGTAACATTGTGCGGTCATTATTATTATTAAAAATAAAGAGGAAACTGGTAACGATACGAGGTCATCTCGCCGGGAAATGGGCCGCCGGCAACAGTGTAACATTCGATAACTAGCACCGCTCTATTATTGTGATTACTGTAGACAGCAATACGTAGTATTGAAAATACCAAAAAAAAAAATAACATAGCTCAATAATCTTTGAATAGCTTTAATATTTGAAGCAATCATCGTTTTCATGGACCCGAACTATTTTATTAACATATTCCAGTGTGTTAATAAATTGAATAATGTTACATTTTATTTTTCGTTATACCAGATAGGATAATGGAAGTGGCGTGAATAATACCACTTTTCCGATTCCGCCGTGTGCAGCGAGCTAACGCGCGGATGCGCTTGCGTGTCGAGAATCGAGATGAGATCGCGGTGACATCGCCCTTGGCTCAGCAAGAATTTGCAGTGCAACGACTCGCAAAGTCGCAAACCTTGTAGTGAACACCTATGCTATCAATCGCTGCATTTTATGCACTGCAAGGTCCCACTCGCTACGTACAGTCAACAACAAAGATATACATCACACGTTGCCACATAATGTAACCATCCAAATTACCATACATATGGAAACGTGAAAAACTACAAAAATAAGTATGCAATAATTTGACCATTACTCTGTAAACGGACAAAGTGCAAGGACAAAGTATCCCTTATTAACTAGTGAGACAACCACATAATCATAAATATATCCACATGATATAATATCAAACTGATCATCAAGATTTAGTATGTTAATGGTTAGCGCGTTTGATCTGTGATTGCGGAGGTTAAGCGACGCTCGCAAATGCCGGTAATCAGATGGATGGGCAAATTATTTTTGGCGGAGTGACTTAGGACGATCACGCGGGCCTATTAATCTGTAATCCGCCAGCCCAAGGGCGTATCTGGGTTTCACCCATTTAGAAGATCTGTGTTTTAGCATCACCGATGCTCATTAGGACCTTCACGCGGGCCCAATAAGGAATGCTATGTGTATTGATTTTTAACCGACTTCAAAATCCAAAAACATTTTTTTAAGTATGTTCAACGATATTTCCGCCTATTGTTAATTGATTTTCAAAATTTTTTATTCGACAGCTTAACGAATCGAGGTGGTCTCTTTTAAATTTTATGGAAATAGAATTAGTAATTTTTCTTTTATAACAATACAAAATACGCTTTTCACCATATATCATCTAAATATTGCAATGATGTGTATTGTAGTTAATGTATCTCAGCTAAAAAACAAAAGATTGCGTATTTTGAACTCATTACTAATATTTATGTTTCCAATATTGTGCACATATTTATATGCATTTAGAAAAATAAAATTTTATGGGTCTTTATATGAGTACATATATAATATTAAAATACTTGTATCTATACATTTTACCTTGAGTGTACAATCATGTAAATCAGCTGTGTCAAAATACAAGAAGGCCACGACATTTTAAATGACGCATGTTCATTCATTTGTGACTGCCAATCTCGAGTAGTCAAGTCATCACAAGTTTTCCAAGACTGTATAAATTCCACAATTGATTTTAAGCGTTAATTAATTGGATTTGAGATCAAGATCGAATGCGGAAATGTGACATTTTGTAGAATAATTGAACTTCAAAATCTAGCTAATGCGGAAATGTGACATTTTGTAGAATAATTGAACTTCAAAATCTAGCTACTGTGTGGTATTATTGAACTTCAAAATCAGTAGGATTCTGACAAAATCCTCATCACCAGCCTATTAATGTTCCCCCACTGCTGGGGATCGGGCCTACCCTATAGATGGAATCGAAATAAATCGAACAGCGAGAAAACAAACGATTAATCAATCAATCAGATGATATTAAAGGAACAGATTAAAACCAAATATATAATATATTTATATGTTCATTGGAAGTTATGTTTTCGATATGAGAACTAAATTATCGGATGACGAACATAAAACTATAAGAAGATATCAATAAAACTTTTATTGACTCTTATGAAGGCAAATTTATTGCCCGTTTGGTCTACATTGTTGACTGTACGGTATAGACTACACAATATATTAAATAAATATATATCAACACCACATACATTGCTCAGATTCCTAGATGAGTAGCCAAAGCCCTTGTTTTATAGTTTCTGAGACAGCGAAGGTACGACAACACCCAGACCCAAGACAATATAGAATGTTAAATTTGTATCATTAATGTCGCCTTAAACTAATGACAATTTTAATTTACGTCTGTGCTGCTGGCTGTAAGTTATTAACTTTAAGTCTTCAGTAATATAATAATATCCTTGATATAACATAAAATTCTGTGGGCATTACTATCACGCTCACAGATAAAAATATTTTTGAATGGCCGATGAATGAGTAAAGTGGGACAATCAAAGAATAATAGATGGGCTTTGTACATGTTGACTGGAGAATGAGGGTCAATGAATGTAATAAAGCAACGACATTGCCGCTTTTATTGTGAGGCGACTGACATGTGGTATCACAATAACATGGACATTTCAGGTGTAACTAAAATATAAAAAGTTTATAATGTGTTACTACAGCTACTTAACATCTTGAAAGAGAACTGCGTGTCGTGTCACCTTGATGACTAAAAGGCTTTGAATTTTTTGATTGTCTACAAATTAATAGATCATAAGATTGAAAAATTATACTAGTGGCAGACAGACAATATTTTTTTGATTTTGACAATTTCTTGTACGCATAATCTTTAATAGTTACGACAAAATATTAATGTTTTATAAATGTAATAGCAGAAAAAACAAAGCGTACATTCGTATTCACGAGTGAATGTGTTCAAATCATTCGAATTGGAGGAAAAAGAATATACATTACATGACAATCTAGTCCACATCAAAAGTAATTTTATAAAATATCTTTTAAAACAGTAATTTTATCAACAATGTTTTGTAAAGGCTTTTGATTAAAGCATATCTTAGATTTCAGAAAAGTAAAGTACAAGATCGACCCGCCTTGACTTGCCGAAGAAAATTATTCAAAAGTTGATGTGCAAAAATAACTCTCAAGTAATTTTCTTCAACACAGGGAGATCTGCAAAAAATATTTCAAATGTTAGGTCTATAAGAAGTAGATAGGTAGTTATTACCACTAATAAAGAATACTATTCAATCTCACGATTGTAAAAAAACAACTGTCTCAATTCGGCACCGATCCAAAACATCATATTGAATCTCAAATTCACTATTTAAAATATCAATAAAATATTACCGTGAGTAATAATAAAATTTCTTAATTGCATTTTGAGGTAAATACTTTCACCAGCTACAGGCAATAATGACGTCATGCTTATTGAAATGACGATTACAGTTAGATATCGAGAAGCAGTTAATAAACAACAATAGGCCACATGTGCGCGAACCGGTTCATTAACCCATCCATCCTACGGAATCTGTGCGAGCATTATTGCAAATGTTAGTACTTGGACGTGGGAGAGAACAGGATCGGTGACAAGACCATAGTCTATATCGTCATAAATGAAAGCTCGAGTAGAGGCAACTGTGCAATTACTGGGCGTATTATAAAAACCAGTGTGCTATATATGGACACACGCCATTCGCTCTGGAGATATACAGAATTATTCTTAGTTATCAGATACACTATATCTAAACAATAAAATTGTCATACATATGACTTTTCAACTCAATGTGTTGGTTGGTGATTTAGCGAGGAATACTATTTCAGATAATACTGTTGGAGGATCGCCTTGTTAGAGATTTGCATTAGACCTGTGCACAAAAAAGGCAAACATAACAATTATTCTAACTATAGTCCGATTACACCGCTCTCAGCTGTAGGTAAAACGCCTTTTACCGCGAATATAACATCATTTTACATACATCTAATCTTTTGGCTAAATTTACAGATGATGTCAACAAACAACTTAATGTAAAAATGTGGGATAAGAGGTCCCTTACTAAAATTGTGTGAAATTTTCAGTTTTAGCAAGGGACCTCTTTACAATGTTGAACGTCTTTAGTATGGACATATATACAAAATTTATCTCAATAAACTATACAAACTGCAATTAGGAATTCTAAAAACGATAGTTTTATCGAAAATTAACGCCGTATATGATAACTGAACTTGAACTCTGCCAATTTTTTCTCAGGTTAAGTATGCTCTTCACAAGGAATACTTTTTAGAGAGGAATTCATGTCATGTTAAATAATTTTATTGATGTGTAAAAAATGAAGTAAAAATATAACGAAATGAAATAGCCAGTTTTGTTAATGAGACAGATGATGGCGATGATGAATTATCTGAAATAATTTACCACAAAGAGTACAAAGTGAGTTTAAAAATAATTCTAACAGCTTTTTTTTGCCAAAATAACTTACTTCTAAATAAACAAGATAGAAACTAAAATTTCATATCTCTATATACATCATAAGGTCTTTAACGTCCTTTATCAATTTCGCATTACTAAGAGTCCGTTAAAAAGACGTTAATGGGCGGCGCCCGACAACCGTCCTAAGCTCTAGAGAACGGAATGCGCACGCGCAACGTTTGAGCTCGAAACATCATCTGTATGCGGGACACGCGCTCGCCCAGCGGTTTTCGACATGTGTACAGCACCCGGCTGCTTCAACATAATTATTACATTACTATTTAACTCTGAATACGTGACAATGTGCTAAAAATTTTAATAAATTAGACTCCTCTATTACCAACACAATGACGAACGTGTACAAATAAGCGACAAATGAGAACTTCAATTTTCAACCAGAATCCATTGGAAACAGAACCTTTATTGAATTCATTCTTGAATCAATTTCGTTGAATTTTGCAACCGCGTTTTATGAATATATATTTTATCGTGTAACAGGAAAAATGAAACTTGACGTCTGTCCACATTTTAAACAATAAGTTATCGGTAAATGGACAAGCATTAGCGTC